TTTTAAATTTTCGTCTCTTAATCTCGCGCTTCTTTCGCACGTTTCTCCCGCGCGTGACACAAGAATGATCTGTTGGCCGCTCAACACATCAAATACAAGCTCTTAGGTAAACTTCTCACGTAAGCAGAAAAAATTCCTCGCACCGCCATCTTTGTTTTAAATTTTCGTCTGTTAATCTCGTGCTTCTTTCGCACGTTTCTCCCGCGCGTGACACAAGAGTTATCTGTTCCCCGCGCGAGGAAACTAATACAAGCCACCTTAAGGCCACTCACACATTTGCATGATTGTTCAGACTGTTTTGTTTTCATTCTTTTAGGTTTTTATTTTCTCAATGCCTTTCAAAGAGATAATAGTAGTACTTGTACAGTTTATGTTCTTGGGCATACATGTAAACATGTTTTGGGCACTTCTCACAGTTATTTTGACCCTCGCCTAGCAGCTTGGGCTAAAATGACTCTGATTTGGCATACCGGTAGTTACAACATGAACATCAACTCTTAATTTTTAACACATCTAGTACAGGGCATTTTGTAAGCAAAGAGTGAAATGTTTGACTGGTTCTATTTGTCAACTCATCCAAAAAGGGAATTATTATTCCAGTATCTAATATTTTGGCTTCCAGTCTTCCAAATAACAAAATGGAACCACTGAGTTTTCTTCATGACTCAAAAACGTAAAAATACATGCTTAATTAAGGCTTGTTGCCCAAAATTTCTAACCAAAAAAATTTGGAAAAAAAGCAAAGTGTTGAATCCACACTATAAATACTGGGTAAAAAATACAAATTTTACAACTTGCCACATGGCTACTGAGCATAGGCAACTTTTGCTTTTTGATAACCAGAAATTTTTTCTTCTTGCTATGGTAACATAAATGGAAGCACCTTAGAACACTGCCTTTAAAGAAATGTTTACCCCTTAAACCTCTTACAGACCAGTCAGTGCGAGTGGATAAAACAGTGGCCAAAGCTATTTTTCCTCAGGAGTGAAAAAAAAAAAAAAAAATGAAAAGGACACTAAGGAATATTACATGATTTATAATAACACTAATGACACCACAAAAAGGTATCATGTGCCAATCAATTCGAAGCTTCAACACCCTGCCCTCATCCCAACAAACCATGGGCATTTGACTATTGTCCTTTCTGGAGATAGGGAATTTAAACCCTGCCTGGGTGAGGTGGGGAATTTCAACTGAAACTATAAAGTCTTTTGAGTGGAAAGACTTGTTATCTCTTAATAACAAGGTGTTTGAAGGTAAAGAGTTCACTATTGTGAGCAGATGGCTCAGAAGAAAAGGTCTACAAAAATGTCATGGTCACTGATCTTGCCTTTTACAAAAAAGAAAACATCATCATCAAATCGCACACTTGGGTGAGGAATTCAAGCACTCAAAAGTCTGAGGGAAATGTTGAAGCTTTTAATTGATCAACACATTATTCATTAGTCTAGCTGACAGTCATTTTTTAAGGTTCACATAATATCTCAAGGCCTAATTTTCAGTCAAGAAGGAGAAAGAAGCAACAACAGAGGATTAGTACTAATGAATTATGCAAATGTTCATCTCACTTTCTTGTTTGCCCTTGCTCACCAAAGAATGAAAATGTTACATCTTTCTACATAACTATAGAAGACAGACATCTTCCCAAATTGGCATCTTTACTGAACTTTTTAAGTGATTGATTTTTGGCTTTTCATCAGGGCAACCAAAGTCTAGTGCAATTGACAGTCAATTGATTTATCACTGATAATCAACCACCATTACATTAAACAGGGTTTTATCCACACAACAATTGAGCCAAGTGTTTTTAAAATCAGAGTAAAAAATCTTGGCCAATCCTATTAAATAAAAATCAAATCACCCCTTCAAATAAAAACACTTTGACTCTCAATTCCCTAAATCAGGATACTTTGGTTCAGTCAAAATTGAAGGGAAGGAATTTAAAAGACGTTATGGAAACAGAAAATGGTGATAGTGCTGTCATGGAGAAAGACAAAAAGCAGTGGGGGGATGTCCAAACAGTAATTATGCACTGATCAATTTGAAGCTTCAACATCCCCCCAGGCAATACTCACAGAGTCTAAGGCAAATAATTGTTTTAGTACAAATTGATTGCTACTGTGCTTTTGAGTTCTGTTGTTGTAAATTTGTTTTGCTGTTAAACCATTCTGTGAGTAAAGAAAGTTTTACACACATTTTGTCACAATAGTTTTGATTACTTGTATTGAGGGTCAACTCAATCAGGAAAACACATGTTGTGTATTTTTGAAAAGTGTTACTCCATGCTTAGTTGTATTTTTTGTGCTCTTCAGAATTGATCTTTCTTCTCTCTGTTTATCACTTCCTCCATAGCATAGACAAAATCCAATACAGAGATTTCCAAATTCAGCTCCCTTGCTATATCATAGTGATTATTTCAACCAATCATATGCATAGTGCAAGAGTCTGAGAAATTATACTACTGTTCAGCAGATATTTACCGGTTAGTGTACATAAATCACATGGGCTGACATCTTTTGCTGTTTAGCAAAAGTTTGCAAAGTTGTGTGAAAATCAGACTACCTTTGGTGTCCACAATATCTCTATGTATATTGGATGTTAAATCTCTCTTGATAGCTCGACTCTATCAGGCTCAATAAAATGGTTCTTCCTTCAAGTCAAAACCTACATGTACGTCTGATAAATATTGTCACGCCATGACAGACAATCAATTTTAAAGTTGAAAGCGTTGGATTCAAATAACTTTGTTAAGTCCTTGTTATGAAGAATGGTCACGACTGAGATTTGAAGAAAAGTACATTAGTAATTACGCATCGGGAGAAAGCCGGAAATTCAGCGGATAAGGTTTAGAAATTGCTTTGTTGTAGGAGATACATTAAGGAAGCACTTCTCCAAGTTTTAGGTTTCTTTGTTTTGCCAAACTTAAGATATTCATCAAAATGTTTTGCGCAAATTTTCAGAGACAGCTAGTATGGAACCTCCGTGTTGGTGTATATCTTTGGTCCACCAACATGGTCGCCGGCAAAAGAGTAAAACATCTGGAACCTTACTTTGGCTATCAGTATCTAGCCCATAACTCTGAACTACAAACTGCACTGGTTTCCAAACCAAGCACGCTATTGAGCTTTGTTTTTGATTAGTATGGGGTTATACGGAAATCTTTCCTATTCGAGTAATAACCAAGACTTACCACGTCCCTGTGAAAATGTTGGGCAGAAAGCAATATCTTCGGGATGCGTTGAATTCCTCTCACGATTTGCACCAGCAGTCGTCCCTACTTCAATCAGATTAACATTTGAACTACTCTGTTGCCGAACTTCGTGATCTTCAATCCGTTCAGTCCGTAGATTCTTGACAGTAACAGTGCTAGTAGTAACTAGAACTTTAGCCGTAGGCACTTGTTTTGAACTACTGGAGGGCAAATTTACTTGAGGTAAATAGTCTTCGTTGATGTGTAAGGGTGTCGAAGGCTCTTCGAGGGAAGCACCAGTGGACGCCAAGTAGTTAGCTTGATCTGTAGGAGGAAGCCGTTTTTGAATGTCTTTCTTGTCCTCTGGCAGATTGCTCTCCCCTCCTTCATTCCTCCGCCTGGAGTTTGAAGAATAAAAAACCATCGCCATACTAGTCATGAAAGAGGCGCCAACTATGGCGATAATAAAATATCTCAGATTCCTCAGAGATGAACCCATGCAGGAATCGTCTCCATGTGCTGTTACGCAAATTAGATCCAAAAAAATTCCCTTAAAGTCATTAAAAAATATATATATATGAAAACATCACCACCGCCGAAAGAGAATACTTCAAAGAACATTCAGCATCGTCATGCCGAGTCGTAGTCAGTTATTCTTTGTTTGCACGTGACGTCGGCATAAATTAAAAAACCGGGGTCAGCCATGTTGTGGGATAACTACGCTCAACGATCCGTGTTAACATAGCTGGTGTAACATAGCTGTCTGAAGTGTATGTTGAAGGTGTTACACACATACTTGTCAATGTCATGCATTCTAAATAGCTGCCGATACTTGTAATTAGGTATGCCAATGTAGACTATTTTAAGATTTGTGCTGTAGTTTGGATTGTAATATGTTTTGTGTGAACGGTAAATTTTTCAGTTTTTTTGGATACTACAACACCACGTGCTTTGCGGAAGCCGGTATGATCGTTTTACAGTTTTAGTTTCCCCTCTTATCATTCCACAACTCTGTGTTGTGTTTGGTTGTTTTGAATCTGGTTGTGTTACATGTATAAACAAGCAAGCAATTGAAAAGTAATTATTGTTTATTAAGCTTTCAAGACTGTATGTTTCTTTTGTATTAATAGTTTTCGCATCTTACGCCTATAGTTTAGTTTGAGATTCAGCTAATTACTGATACTTGTGGGATTGATGCTGTATTTTCTAAATATTGATAATAATAACACAAACTGGGGGATAACCATGCACATACTTTGCGGAAGCCGGTATCGTTTCGTTGGTAAAGGCAAAACCAGGCAAGTCTCTGGCTCCTATTGACAAAGCTGCCATAGTGTGCTATGCAGTCACCAATTTAACAGAGTCTATTGTACCATTTGATCGAGGTGAACTTACAACCAGTTTGATTCCAGGTACTTTATGCACAATTTTTCACCTAAAGGCCTTAGAGAACTGATGTAGTTCATGCTAGCCATAATTTGTCATTAAAGAACTTCAGTTATTCTCAAGTTGACAAAAACACAGCTTTAAGGTACACCATTGACAAGCAACATTTGTTTAGTATGTGTCACAGATGCTAGTCATTAATAGATAACTATATGACAAACAACCATAAAGTTCAGTTAGCATTTTCACAAAGAAAGGAGCACCCCCAAAGTAATATTTTGGTGATTTTGGTACAATTGAATAACCTTGAAATTTCAATCATGATTGCTCAGTTAATTTTTTCAAATAAAAAATTGGACAGATCCAGTGTCCTAAAGGCTCTTCTGTCAACTTCAAACATGACATATGATACCATTTAATCTTGAACAAATCATTGTCACAGCCAATTAATGTGCTGTCCTCCAAATCTTGTTGACAATAGCACTGCAGCCTTTCCTCTTCATCACCAGATGATGTTGATGAAGATGGAATGGTTAGAGCTTCACACCCTGGGCATGTATATTACTTCCCTACAATTTTAGGCAAAATGCACTTGCTGAAGAAATCAGAGGAAACAGAGAGTGTATCTTCACAAAACTCTTGGTCAGGAAGAATTTCTGCACAAAGAGATCCATTGTTGTTCACACCACAAAATCACAATATTCATCCCCACAGATACAGATCTAGGCCTGAACTTGGTAGTAGGCATAACATTTGTCAAGATGAACTTTACCAAACTCATCTTTCTCTAACAAAGAAGCAAGTTTTTTCGGAAAAATCCACTTTTTGGCATTAAGCAATCAAATAGGTTAGGGTAACGTAAAATCAGGTGAAAAAGTTAGGGTTAGGGTTAACCCATTAACGTCCAGTGCGCCCGTATGCGCCCATGGGGACCCACACCCTTTCTACGCCCTGTGACGTCATCAATTTTAACCCTGGAGCACGAATTCGAGCATCTACTTGAACGGGTTGAAAATATCTTGCAGACGATACCAGAATGAGCGCAATTGAGTGGAGGAGATTGGAGAAATAGCCAAAAAACCGTGTCACTTTGACCGGAAAATCTGCACGAAGATCGTGTTTCACTACCCACCTACCTTTCCGAGCATGTGCTTTGAAAATAATGAGTAGTTTCTGAAAAATCTCTACACCAAAATGAAGCCTACTC